GAAAGGAAAGGAAAGGAAAGGAAAGGAAAGGAAAGGAAAGGAAAGGAAAGGAAAGGAAAAGGATAATCTAATTCAATAAGGAGATGTGAAGATTTCATTTGCAAGACTTCTCCCTTGAGAAGAGAGCAGCTTCTCTTTACATAAACAAACATGTTGATTTATTCATAATTACTCTGGGTAGATATTTTTGCCAATCAAACATAACAGGTATACATTGCAGAACAATTCCATGATGAATTCAGAGGATGCAACTGAATAAAAACAAGCAGGTCATCAAATTTAGGCTAGAATAATGAACTGCAAAAATAAAAGGTGAGGAAGGACAAGCTAAGTAACTGCATGGCAGGAAATAATATGTATGTTAACATAGATAATAGGCTGAATGAGAGTAAAGAATGTTTAGCAGCTGTAAAAAAAAACAAAAACAAACAAACAAACAAAAAACCAGAAGAACAAAAAAAACCCAAGGCAAGTGCTGCAATTTATACCTGGTGTTGTCACCTACAAAACATTTAGTAACTCTTCAGTTATTCTTTGAGTTGCTTATTCCCAAGCTATTGGATGCTGTGTCCAGTTTTAGATACTTCAAGAAAGGTATGACCTATTGAAAAAAAAACAGAGGAAGACAACAGTAATTACCAGGCTTCATCTAAGTATAATCATAAAGAAAGGCTGACGTAATTGTCTTGCATTTAGTCTCAGCTTTATTTGCACTGCTACCATTTTCCTGGTGCATTATAAATGCACCCTGGGAAAGGCAGGGGGGAACAGGAGAAAATGGGAAAAAAATTCTTCCCTATGATTGCAGATTGCTCTCCTGCTCTGAAGCAGCTGCCATCAGAAATTGTTTTCAAAGAACCTTCGCCTCACCTCTGTGCTGAATGAGCCTACAGAAAAGGCTGGCACGAGCTTGATTTGAAATGAAATAACTCCCATTTTAGAGTGAACTGTGTGATGAAGATGTAGTTATAAAATAAATAATGATTCAGCTCTTTCAGCTCTAACTTTCAATTTTGTCCTTATTAAGTTGCTCAACCAGGTGTTGAAGCCAATAGAATTTGCTTTTTCCCCTGCTGGAAAGCTATTTTGAGTGCAGCGTGACTGAAGAACAGCCACTTATTAGCTGCTCGGCTGTGCTTTCGGCTTTTCTGCTAGAATCCCCCGCAATTGCTTGAACAACACATTTGCCAATACTCATCTAGCTCAATTGGTACCTATAAGGCTGCGGTATGAAATTATGCGGTGGTTGCGGTGGTGGTAAGTTGCCTGCTGTTTAACATCTTTGTTTCATGGCATGGTGCTGGGAGGGATGCAATGCCAACTCTGAGCTACAGTTTGTATTCAAATCTTTCTCTCCTCATTCTATCCACTTGAATTCCCCTGTAGTTTCTGTACAGTATGCCTGCTGGCAGAAATTCCTGAATAACGTTTTGGAGTTGCTGTGGTTCATGCTGGAGCTATCCATCCTTTGGTGATGAGGGATGTAATCCATCTGCATCCCAACTGGACTGCGAGGATTAATTAATGTTCACAATGTGCTATGAGTTCCTTGCATGCTATTGAAGTGGAAATTATTATTTGTTTCAGCCAGTCTGAATGCCATATGGGATTTCCACGTTAGGGTTTCAGCTCTGTTGTACATCAACAAGCTTGAACTGGTACCATGAAGAAAAGATTAGTATTACACTCCATTGTTGTGTATTTGGTGTTGTGTCTACCTAATGACAAACATTTCCCAAGAAGCAGAGCTCTGCACAATTGAACCCCAATGTCTTTTCTGTAGCTCAAAGCTTGCAACGTCCCTTTCCATCTGCTGCACTTCCACTCTGGTATACGTTGAATCCACAGAGCAGTGGATCCCTTGGAACTTCTCATCCATGTTTGCTTGTTATTGCCTTCAAGTCAGCTTTGGGAGACTGTGCAAGAAATAAAGGTAGAATCTGGCTCTGCATTTTGCAACAGATGCTTTTCCCCATGTAGTAGATTTGTACTTTTGTGCTACTTCTGGATCTTTCAGAGACTCATAGAATGGACTGATCATGCCTGAAACTCAAGCCAGAGACACAAGATGCGTGGCCACTCCACAATATTCTTGTATGCTTGCAACACCTACAAAACAGAACCTAAAACTTACTTCGCTAGTTTGCAGGGCCAAATGAATTTGTTACTCTGCTTTTATGCATCAGATTTAGTTTAGCTTAGAGCACATTTTAAAACACTCCTTTGACATCAGTCCTTGTAAGCCCTTACAAACAAACCAGTTTTAAATGAGTGTGGGAACTCCCGCAGAATTATGACAGACACTCATCACTGACAGAGGAAACAAATAAAATCTAATCACCCAGTTTGCTTGTGAGGGTTCCCTGAAAAAGATCAGCCATCAAACAGTTTGAAATTAGCTTCATAGCCAAAGGATTCTCTTTTGTTTCTCACACAAATAAATGCAAATGCTTCGCTTTCCAAAACAGGCACTGTTAAGGAGATACAAATAGAAAGTTCTCACCACACAAATTATTATTGTTTATATTAACAGTTTTATAGGTGAGACTCCAATGCTGACTGCTAAACACATGCCAAAAGTCAGATGATGTCCCAGTGAGCTTCCTGCACACCCACACCCCTGTAGCATTATTCTTCTTAATCTTTCAAGTGTCCCCTCTGATTTTGTGAACAACCACAAAGCATATTTGGCAGTAGCTCTGCTGTAACTGTTCTTCAGTGAGGGTGTTACAACAAGTCTGTTGAAAGCAAAGTTAAATACAAAGAAAGTAAATACAAAACAACATCAAAGCAAAAGATGTAGGGGTGTATGTAGGAAAAAAGCAAACAAACATAATGACAGAAAAAAAAGACAGGTTTGGAGAGGAGAGATCATGGAAGAGACACGAGAAGAACAGAGACGGATAGAGAAAGGATTAAGAATGAAAATAAAAGAATGACACAGGAGATACTGACATTAACATTTTTATTACAAGATAAGTGTAAGTTATTGTCATTATAGCTTCTCTAATTACCTTTCAACCTTTTTTTATATATACATGATGTCCATATGTTGCAAATAAGAGGGTTTTATGACTTTTGTTCTCTCACCTTTCCCATAACTTACATTCCATTTTACTACACTGATACCAGATGCTTCACTTAACGCTCTTGCACCAGTGCTCCCTATTTGTGGTGATAATGCTCTTGGGGAAGCAAAACCACCTGCCTCGCGGGTGTAGGCTATTTGCTGTTCTCGTGAATGTCCACTAGATGGCAAAGCCTGTATTTCTGTTGAGTTTACAGTCCACCTTCAGCTAATAACTAACCCCAGGGTAAGTGCGTAGATTAAAAATGGCCATTAAAAGACATCGAATAGTGTCTCCGTGGAAAAGCATGTATTTGCTAGGACTAACAACAAAACAGGAAAATAAAAGATTCAGTTAGAAAATGGTGATGCTCTCAGGGAAGCACAGTGTTCTCTCTAGTCTCTGCGAATCTCTGTAGGAGTAATCTCTGAGACAGAATTATTAACTTTCCAGTGAAAATAAATTTTATGGAGATGATAATATTTTCTCACGTCTAAGCTTCTTGAATTACTTGTAACTAGCCGAGGAGTCCTCAGTTTGAATGAAATCCAGGGTGAGTAGCCAAACCAGGGGCAGTTACAGTGAGCTGTAACTTCCTACTTTGTATACTTGCAGATGTAAGAAGTGCAATGAGGTTTGATACCACTTTTTCTCTTCAACATGCCTTTATGACAAAGATTGTAATTATGAAGACTAGCATGGATTTTCTTCCCTTTCCTCTGTGGGGTTTACATACTATTTCAGCAGCGTTACATCAAGAAACTTCTATCATTCCCTCACTGAAACTTGGTTGCACACATATAATTATGCAGTACAAAGAAATGCATAGGATCTAATCTCCTGAAAGGGGTTATATCTACACAACATTCGTTATCAGCTATTCCACCAATACACAAGCTTCATACACACTGGCCATGTACCTAACGTTGTAAGATGCATTTATTTCCAGATTTAGCTTCTTTTCTAACTGCAGAAGCAAGGGAAAGATTATTTGCTTCTTTAACAATTCTGTGGACTGACTTCTGCTTCCAGTAGAGGAAGTGGTGATGGTGATAATGGAATACGAGAGCCTTTCTCTTGCTGGCTGGTTAGCTTGCATCTGGCATCAACTATATTTGTTCAATGGCTCCCAATCAATTATATCCTGTAGTACTCATTTTTCCGAGTATCAAGACAAGCAAGAAGATGAGGCCGTTCCCACTCCATGTAGATGAGATGGCAGCGTGAAAAAAAAAAGTCAGCGCTATATTTGGCGTGTTCCTAATTGCACTGTTCTATTTCCAGCTGCCGAAATTCACACTAGAATTTTAATTAAGGGCTAGATTCTTGCAGCAGATCCTAACAACAGGAAACAGTTATGTTACTTAAACAGGCTTTGAAACGATCAGATTTTATCTCCCAAAGCAGCACTCGGATGAATATTAAAGCTGCTTTGTTCTTCTGGAAAGAGCCGCAGTCGCACACGGCTTGCCGAAGGAGGTCACCTCGTCGGCCGGCCGGCCATTAAAGCGGGGCGGCTGAGACAAAAGCCACCTCCTGCACGCACCGCACCCGGCGCTCAGGCTCCGCGCTCCCACAGGCGGCAGGAGCAGGCAGAGGCGCTGTGTAGGAGCTCACGCTGCAAGAGGCTTCACGGCCAGCACAAGGGCAGCCCGCCTAGGCCTCCTCCCCGCGTTCTCAATGGGGGCTCCCATCCAAAGCCTTGCCCGCGGGCCGCCCCGCTGCCGACACCGCCGCGGAAACGCAGCCCAAGGGCACGGCATCGCCGCCCGCAAGATGGCGGCCCCGAAGCCTCGTTCCCAGCGCCGCAGCGCCCCCCAGCGGCGCCCCGCGCAGTGCCGCGCTGCGGAGCCCGCAGAGCACGAGTGCGCATGCGCGAGACCGGCACTGCTATGACGCCTCTCCCCCCCCGCCCAATCGTCCGGCGCGTGCGCAGACAGGACGCACAGCGCCCCCCTCGCAGTCACCGGGCTCCTGGCCCGTCGGCGCACGCGCGTGGGCGCGGACGGCTTTGGAAACCGCCAGAAGGGGCGGGCAGCGCGGTGCCGCAGGCCTGCGCGGCGGCGGGGGCGGGGCCGGGGTCAGCTGACACGGGCGCCTGGCGCTGCGCGGCGGTCGGCGGCGGCCGTCGGAGCGGTTAACGGGAGCGGTTGGGGCGGCCTGGCGGGGCGGAAGGCGGGGGCTCGGCCCGAGGGAGGCGGCATGGCGACCACCGTCAGTACCCAGCGGGGCCCGGTGAGTGCCGCGGGCCGGACCGCCGCGTTCGCCCTTGGGGCGCCGGAAGAAACTCCCCTCGCGATCGTCGGGCGGCCGCGGCCTGGCGCGGACCCTTCCGTCCCGCTTGCTGCCGGGCGGGCCGCGTTTCCGCTCTCCTCCCGTGCTCGCCGTCCGCGGGTGAGAGGAGAACGAGTGCGTCCGCTGGGGGCCGAGGCTGCCTGTGCCTGAGCCCCGGGGCGGGCAGCCGAGCGGCCCTCCTCTGCCTGCGAGCCTCCCGCGGGCTCTTGTGCCGCTCGCGATCCGGAGAACGGCGTGAGCTAAACCGGAGCCCGACGTATTTCTCCTCAGAGTAGCGTAGAGCTTCCTGTGGTCGTGGTCGGACCGGGCAGCTTCAGACAGCTGTCCCTGGAAGCTGCGGCATGGGACGTGCTGAGGTAGGGTGCAGCCGCGGGGCTGAAAACCGAGCAGTCCAGTTTAACAGTCCTGTGAGACTTTGTGCCGAGGGTGAGCTGGGAGGCTCTCGGTGCCCAGGGACGCTGTGGGAAAAACCTCCCCCACGTCTGGTGTGGTGCTCGGCTCTGGTGCTGCGGCATCGCCTCACTTCCAGCTATTGCTGGCTGGAAGAATTGAGCAATAGCTGAGAATACGTATTGCTCAGATTGTCTTTTTCCCCCCCTTAATTATTGTATACTGCTGTTTTATTTCTTAGAAACACTTGTGTTAGGTTTTTTGCTGCTGCTGTCTGTGCAGTCTCTCTGAGAGACCGGGAGACTGGATTATTAAATTACTAATCTTGAAAAGCTGAATCTCTGTAATTATCTTATGCTAGTAATGCTATCTGGCCATCAGTTTAGTTCCTTGAAATGCCATATTTGTAAGATTGTTAAGAATTGATTCTTTTTACAATTATTATTTTTATTTTTTTTACAATTGTTGTGTTCTTGGAGTAAGTTTTCAGTGGAGAATTAAAGTCAAAACAGTGAATTGAGGTTTTTATTCTCTCTTTGACAGTATTACTGATGGACAGCTGATATTCTGTGACTTACGAATTCATCAGTTCCTGTCCCCATAGGCTTGGTGTTTGAGAACTGATGGTGTGATTGCACCCAAATGCTGTTCTTTCAGTACGTAACAGATTTTACTAATAAATAAGTATCTGACAAAACAGTTTTAAAATAACTTCTAGTCAGGCCTTGGTTGATGTTTGGAAAAGGTTGGGGTACTTGTAGGGAATCAAGGTTGGAGTAGGGGGCTGAAGGAAATAGTAGCCAGGTGGATTGGATAAAGCTGGACAGCAGGCCTGGTTGCAGTCCTGATTTGCTGAGAGAACGTTGTGCTGGTAGCAGTACCTCCATAAAATGGAGTGGTATTTCTTTTTGAGGAAAGTTTTATTTGTTGTGCTAAATACCTTGTTGATATTTAGTATATTTTAATCTTGACTTGTTTCAGCTTGATGAAGTCCTGTTGGGTTGAGATGAGATTCTGGCAAGAACTTTCTTGGAGTTGGCTTCAGCTTTTTCTTTCTTTATTGTATACTCCCAGCATTGTGTGTGCTGTCCTTCTTTGTCTTAATATTGTAGAGACTGGGATAATTGCAAGTGAATTATTACGCAGCATTAAGAAGCTGTCATTCATAGGTGAAAATGCTGGTACAGTACATACTGGCTTCCTTAATTCTCTGAAGAATGGAACATAGAATTGTGTTTGTTTCTCTATATATAGTTGCATTACAAATGGATAGCCACTAAACGGTGCTAAAGGACTGGGAAACCTTTTTCCTTCAGTGCTACAGAACATTTCTGTTGTCTCTGTTTGAACAGGCAAGAAAATGTTCAAGATTGTTTCATGGAGCTAAGAAAGCAGTGTATGTTTCTATACTGCTGCCAGTCTTTTTCTTATAACCATGCTTTCTAATTTGATACTGTTTATTTGGTGAGTAATTAAAGTTCCAATTGCCCTCGAGTTTTTCAGATGAAACAGCCGGAATCCTGTCTGCTAATGGCAAACATCCTGCTAGAACATAGATTTCCTCTGTTCCATCTTCAGGATGATAGGGAAAATTAGTGTGGCTTTGTGTTACTGTAAGAACAGTACAGCTTTTGAAATCCTTGCTGCAGCTGCATATAGAAGGGCTGCTAAAAAATAACCTTTTTTAAGTGATAGGTACCACTAAACAGTCTGGTCAGGCTTCATATTAAGTCTCGAGTTTGAGACCCCAGTGCTGCATGTTGGTGATCCTTCAGCTAGCCAAGCATGCCCAGAATGGATGTCTGTGATTATTCACTGTGCTGACAACTATGTCAGGTCCTCCAAAATTAGATTGAGTGCCAAACTAGGGCTATTTAAGTTTCTGCTTCCTTGGCTTTCCTATTCATTTCTTTTTTGCTTTGAACTCTTCCACTGGGCAGCCTGAATGAACACTTGGTTCTTTTCCTATTCTAATGCTGTTATTTAACTGCATAAATATTGTCATCTCTGACTTTAAGTTTTGTTTTGAAATGTAGCTCAGGACCTCTGTAAACATGACTTGAATTCAAGATGTCCATTCATTCTATCTTTGTTATGTAACTCATTTTTGAATACGATTATTTCTGCCATAATTAGCCCTCAAATTACAAAATATTCACCTCCTTACTAAAATAGTGTAGGCTTGTCATAGTTTCTTCCCTGAAACCAGTGTTTTTATCTCTATTAATGGCTGTGCTTTTTTGTTATGGAATGTATTTTGTAGATCTTCAAGTATCAATATCTGGGGCAAATTTAGATGTACTGGGAAAATCCGGGGCAACAGCATGTGACAAAATATTCTGTCGCGACCTAAATGCAGTAGGTGTACGTGGGAAGGGGAAAATACTAAGTAATGACTGTACTCATGGAGTGCTTACAGATAGATATATAAAAGCAAAGTTGGTGATAAATTTCTAGTAAAAAGAGTCATGAGAGTGAGTTAATAAATGTCTGATAGCTTGCGATTTGCTATCCTTTTTATTTTGCTTTAGTAATAAAGCTTATTAATCTTTAAAGCTTATTAAACGTAGTTCTTTCCTTTGCTTATCTCTAAATTGAAAAGCCGAAGTAAAGCCTTTGACTACAGTTCTAGAGAAGTTGAAGTGGAGATGTCATGCAATAATACAGGTTGTACAGAATCAGGGAAGCTAGAAGTGGTGTCAGTAGGCCACGTACACCAACCTTTCCCTAAAAGCACGGTCAGTATTGAGTTCAGACTAGGTTGCTCAGAACTTGGTCCAGCAGGATCTTCAAAACTGGCAAAGACCATTTTTATAATCTCCATGTGATTTCTTTGTTGTTGTTGTTTCATGTGAAACCTCCTGTTTCAGTTGAACAGTTTAAGTTTCTTCTTGCCTTGCATCTCAAAAGAGAACTTGGTCTGTTTTCTGAACAACCTTCTCATAGTTACTGAAAAGCCTGTGTGAAGTACATCCTATAATTCCTCTGCTCTAGATGAATCCACAGCTTCTCTTTACAGATCCTGTGCTGCAGCCCTTCTCATGGGCCATCTTGATGGACCTCTGCTGAGCTTTTGATCATCTTTTGTGTACTGCTGGGCCCCAGACTAGATGCGGTATTCCAATATGTTGCCTTAAGAATTACAAGAAAAGGGAAACAATCACTCTTCTCAGTTTACTGGCTTTTGATTCTGTGGTGTAGTACGCTGCTAGACCGTAGCTTGCATTCCAGCAGGCTTCCCCCTGCTGTTCTGCTAGATGTTCTCTAGGCTGTACCAATGCCAGGGAATTTTCTGTCCATAGCGCAGGACTTTGTACATGTTACCAAATCTCATGGGGCTCCCATCAGTGTATTCTTCCAACTCCGGTTGTTGGCCATGTTCTCAAACAAACCTCCATTCAAAGGTATTAGGCACACATGGTAGATCTCAGTACAGACTTCTGAGAAAGACTTATCTGTTAGCCAGCCTGCAGTGTCACTGGCAGCTGAACTTCAGTTTCTGAGCTCAGTAATCCAGTTTTCCTCCATCCCCATTTGGACTGCAATGACCAACCTTGGATACCAAGATGTGGTGGGAACTCTCTAAAAGCCTTGTTTGCAAATCAAGGCAAACAGTCACCCCTTCTCTCCTTTTCAAAGATGAATGTGACTTAGCTATCTTTTTCCAATTTTTGAGGACTACTTCTGTTATCCATGAGCTTTCAAAGATGAGAGAGCAGCTTTGGAAAATAAATATCATCTAGCTCCTGTAGCTCTTTTGGATGCATTTCATGGTCCCAATTTTTCAAAGTATAAGCCATATAATAATAGTACAAAATTATTTTATTTACTTATTTACTTTTTCTTGAAATGGTGGAAGCATTTAAGGGTTAAATAAGTAGAACTTAGTAGGTAGGTGTTTTTTAGCTCTGTAGAGTGAGAATTCTCTGAGAATTAGTTTTGGGGTTTCTGGATCTGTTTGCTGGTTTGGAATCCTTAGATGTGAGGACATTTTTGCTTGTTCTTGGTGTTGCCTTTTTTCCCACCCTGATGTAGGTACCAGTAATCACATGATTGCTTGGTGAGCCATGTAAAGCTCCTGATGACGCACTCCTCTCCTTTACCTTCAACCCTTGTTTTGTTTTCTTTTGTTCATCTTCCTTTATAGTTGCCTTGGTGCCACTTAGTGTTGCATGATAGGTGAGGGTGAGAGGTAACAGGAAGATGAGACTAAGACAGCCAAGGTCTGAACAGCCCAGCAGAGCCATTGGTTTGAAGAAATAACTTGATGATTGTGGGTTGTTTGTTTCACCTGCTGCATTTTTGCTCTAAAGCACCTCAAAATGAGGTATGAGATGGTTTTAGCAGACAGCAGAAAGGGCGATGTTCTGTTTCTAAGTAATTCATATTCTTGATTTGCAATGCTGTCAGTAAAGCTTATTAAGAAGTGATTACAAGGCAGACCTATTGTTATGAATGCCTGCTCATCATCTGCCTGAAGAATTAAGTTTTATGGTGACACCATTACAATTGTCTGGCTTGAAAAATGCATCTAGTAAATTCAGGTGTTAGATGGAATGTTTATGGTGCAGTTAATGGTTGGGCGGAGTTGAATTTCACCACTTTCCTGGAATGTTGTGGTAATGGAGGGAATGCCTCTGTACAGTGGGTGCTGAATGGGATATCAGCTCCTTGCCAGAGTTCTCCTGGCTTTAAAACTGTTCGAAATCTGGTTATGCAACTTTGTATTTGATTGAGATTTGGAGGTGGCAATTGCTTAACAGTTTTTGAATGCTTTGAAGGAAGAATTTACAAAGAGTTTGCACAGTGCTGATTTGCCTCCATCTCTATGGAATCAACTGATAATCAGCATAAGAATTTACTGATTAATGTTCTTTCCTCAGTGAGGTTCTCTGCTAGCTGCTTACTGAATACATCACCACAACTCTTGTACCAAATCTCAGACATGGCTGAACACTGAAGTTGGGAGTGTGTGCCTCTCCTGTGCCTTACTTTTGAGGGGCTTACTACTGGTATCTTTTAAGAATTTGGTTATGCTAGCTGTTTTTCAGAATATCTGTTCTGCCATTCCAGTGTAAGAATGCAGCTTTGTGTGAGATAGTGCAATGACCAAAAATCCTTCTTTGGCTTGTCTCTTTGGACCTCAGTGACTGGTTTATATATTTTTATGTTGGAACAGTATTTGAATGACTTAATAAAAAAAAAAAGGATATTTTTTTCACTACTTTGACCATGATGAATGAATGAGTTAAGGTTTCCAACATCCATATTAGGATGGTTGTACCAAATGCTGTATGCTACCCTGATTTCTGATGAGCTGGCAGAGAGAGCTTGCACATATGGGGATGTGATTTAGAGCTGCAGTTCTCACTTCTGACTATGTGAAATCTTTATGATGCATATTCTTAAATGCTAAAAATTCTGAATTTCAAACTTTCTGGAGGGGTTGTCAAAGGTTGAAAGCAGCCAGCTGTGTTGCAAATGCCATTGCTTTGTTAATTCTGGGGCCAGTGCAGATCTTTCCTAAATGGATGGTTCTACTTTAAAACTGCTAATTGTTCACAGCATTGAAGCATTACTGATTAGTTTTCTGTATATAATGTATGTAATAACTGTACAAATAAATTAAAAGCTATTTTCTTCAGGAAGCGAGCTAGTATGAGAAACCTGACTGTGAAATTTAAATGGTTGTGAGAAAATAATATTCAAGGTGCACGTTCTCTGGTCACACTCTTGAGAAATGTATTTTCAGCATTGTGGCAGTGCATAATGAATGCCTGCAAAGAGAAGTGTTGCTGTGTGAAAAAGGAGCTCGATGTTTCGATGGAACAGTAGTCTAATAAACACCATGAAAGCATTCACTTTCCTGTCCTTATATAGATATTGTCAGTTAACCATCTTTGAGGGACATGTTGAAATGTTTCCCTTCTGTAAAATTACTTTTTCAGAGTGGAATTTTAAGACACTTATGAGCAGAACTGCATCTCTTTCCCATCCCTCCCAGCAGCAGGCAGCCAGCACTTCTTCAGCAGCTTTGATACACTTCCTTTCTGGTATGTGACACCTCCTGCTGCCAGGATCCCTGAGGCTCTTGAACACAGAGCCAAATGCATCTCTTGCCAAATCGCATTTCATATGACTGTTGCTGTCTCAAGGATGCAATCTTGGCGTGCAAGTGCTGTCTAATCTTCAAAAGTGATGTCCTAGGGGCCCTTTCTTCCTACAGGATGTTGTTCTGTAGGCATGCATTTGCTGGATACACTGTTGAGTAATCTTGTCTGAGACAGTAATGTAAGAAATTGCAATGTCTTTTATCTTCATACATTATACATGTTTTATTAAATGTAGAAGCAGCTCTATAGGCAGTAGAGATGAGCTTAATTATTTTTCTTCCCTACTGTGTGAGAGATGCTTTCAAATTCTTCTATTTTAATTTTTTCCTCATTTCTTAATTTGTGATTATCTGAAGTTGGAATCCCTCCATTGGGTCGAATGTGGTAGTATCTGATCCCAAACTTGACAAGGTTAGTTGCAGGCTGTGCTTAAAACTGAAAAGGCATTAGGACATCCTGGTTCTCCTGAAAGGTTTGTCTTTATGATCTGTCCTGAGGATTAATTTTGAAAGTGACACTTCCAAATGCTGCCACGTACCACGTGTTTTACTTATGCAGCTTTCAAGTTTGCGTTAACGTCTGCTGCAAATGTGTGCCAAAATACTGGCAACTTTAGTTGAGCAGTAGCTTTTATTAATGGTAATGGCAGCGCATTAGACCTTGCAGTCTCTATTTCAGTGCATTTTTTTCTTGAAAGAAGGGTGCTATATTCTGTAATGGGAATGATTGGATGAATGGTGAATACGGGGAAGAGCTGGACAGCATCAGATGTCACGTGGAAATGGGATGTGAAACTTGGTAGATCTGATGTTTGTATGGATTACTTGAACGTTCAGTTGTAAAACAGCCTTGGCTTTGCGTGTCCACATTGTTATTTTTCACAGAGACTTGTTGGATGTTAGTATTTTCAAAAGTGAGCATGGCAGTTCTGTCATTATTTAGTTATTGATGCTGTCAAAACTAGAGTAAAATGCTGAATGTTTTTGCTGAGGTTCTTGGGTTTTCTGTTGCTTTCCATTGTTCATTATGAAAGTGGGAGATCTAAATTTAAAGTTTTTTCTTTTTTTTTTTTTCAGGTGTATGTTGGTGAGCTTCCTCAAGATTTTCTTCGTATTACTCCAACCCAGCAGCAACAGCAAATCCAACTGGATGCCCAGGCAGCTCAGCAGCTGCAGTATGGAGGACCAATGAGTACAGTCGGCAGACTGAGCATTACTGTAGTACAGGTATAAATTGTACCTATACAGACTTTGGTCATTTTTCATCAGTGGTCACAAAAGACTTCATGTTGAATTTTTTACTCAACTGCTTGGTTTTTAGGAAGCGAGTAGTTTTCAAAGTTTTTGTTGCTTAATTTTCTTGTACGTCAGGTTTTTTTCCAGTTCTGTTACTTAACTGTGACATGCATGGTGCAGCAATTTCCTATAAACCTTGCTATCACAGAAGAAGATGCTGTTACAGAAGAGTTCCTGTAGAAGCCCAGAATACTGGGAGACATCTGCAATCTTGAGACTGTTATAGGGAACTGCAGTTAGCTTACATATTTTTCCTTAAGTGGTTGTTCTGAGCCATATCTCCTTTAATGCATTTTGCTACTTTTTTCTGGTGCTTTCTGCAAGCTTTCTTGTTCGAGTACGTAGTCCTATCTTTTTTAACTTCTGCTTGCTCTTTCCCTTTGTTACCCCTTAATTGATCTCTTGGTAATACTAAATTATTGCCTTCATGATGTGTAAGATTTCAGGTTTTAAAACTTTTGTCTTATCACAGTTCTGTTTATCTGTATTAACAAAACAGGTGTTCTTCATGTTAATGTATCTCATGTATTTAGGAGTCTTTTTCTAAAAACATACTAAAGATATATTTAGTGATAAGCCAGGTGTTCTATGGTTAAAGCTTCTTCATTAGGGGGAGAACTATAGGATCTCTCAGGAAAGAGATACTGATCTTTTTTTCCTGTGTCTTTTGCTGGTCAGTTTACTCCTTCACAACCTATACTCCTTATACTCTGAAGGCTGGAGGCAGTGCTTTTTCAATACTTGTTGATTCTAAGGTTTGTTGAATGCAGTTGCAATCCTGTCTCTATTTCTAACCAATTCTCCAATCTTTGTTCAGAGGCTTTCTATGATGTGGATCTCTTGCAACTTTGAATAGGAGAAGAATGTTACTCTTCTTTGTAGTGGCAGAGGCTTCAGTGACTTTTTTTTCTCAGAGTTGGGAACAGATGATTTGGGTTAAACCTTAGGCCTACAAGGAAACAATGTATATTAGATGACATGCCGTGTTACTGTTAGCTCTCTAGTTTTTAGCCATTTGTATGTTAGTAAGTTGTTCATCTTTGACTACTTGTTTTGACAGCTGGAAGTGCTTTATTTTACTCATGGTATTTTGATCCTATCTTGGTAGATTATTGAAACTCGTTAAGTAAGAGTTCAGACAGTGTGATATTCAAGGAGCTGTTACATCTCACCTTCTGTGTACAGAAACATTCAGATGATTCCTGTTTGTGTAGGTACTAATGTTTGTGTAGAACCAGTGTTTATTGTGTTGAGTACTAACTTATATTTTGGAGGTTGTGAAGACAAAGAAAAAATGATAAAAATTACATATGTACTTTCTTCAGGAATTGTCTGGCTGTTCTTGATGCCGTGGCTGTGAATAACTACTTATTACAGAACTGTAAGTTGAGGTTAAGGAAACCTCTGGAGATTTAGTCCAAGGAGAGACCCCTAATCAAGGATTAAGGATATTGGACTTCCAAGGAAAGGCTGAGGAAGCTGGGAACATCTAGAAGATCAGGCTTGGGCAGGAATATTATCAGTAGGAAATTAATTCCACAGAGTATTTCTAGAGATTAGTTCTCTCTGGTGACTGAAAAGACCACAAGAGATGCAAGGAGCATATATTGCAATAAAAAAAATTATGAAAAACCTAACCTTTTTACTGTGAGAGTTGTCAGATATCTAAACAGGCTGCCTGGAGAGGTTGTGGAGCCTCCATCCTTCAATATGTTCAGAACTTGCTTGACCACAGCACTGAGCATTTGACCCTGCTTTGAGGGGGTGGTGGTAGCACAGGCTCCCTGGAAGTCCCACCCAAATTCAGCCATTCTGTGGTTTTGTGAAACTCGTAATAATTTCAGTGGCCCTTTTACTGTACTAGTTCCAGTATGTCCAAGTCTTGTGCTGGGCAGCCCAGAATTACATAGAAAAGTACTCCAGTGGGTCTTGCCAGCACTGACTTCCTGAAATTGCTAGCTGTATTCCTGTTGCAGCCTAGGAATCAGCTGTCTGTGCTACAGGGGTCAGTTGCTGGATTGTATCTATGAGCACCAGGAACCCCCAGATCCCTCTCTGAAAAGCTGTTCTCCAATCTGAACAGGAGTGCTGCTGGAATCTTGGCTGCATATGGAGGCATGTGGTACTTGGATACAAGGCTTACCATGGCATAGTTAACCTGTGGAGTGCAGAGATCTAGTTAAGTCCTTTGTATTTGAATGCCTTTTGATAAAGTACCCAGAGCACTATGCACTATTTCTGCTACTTCTAAACTTTTAGAAGATACTTTAATTTGCAAAGCCCACATTTACAAGAAATGGTGTAAGATAATTCTTACCAGTTCTGATACATAATTATCAAACCAGTGTATGTCTTGAAGGATTAAAGGATTTTCCAGGCCAGAGCTGCAGCTACTGTGCCTAAATCTATTAGGTCTCAACTGTTCGAACTCCTTGTATCTCCTGCAGGTGAGAGGCATCATAGGCATCATTTTTCTTTTTTTAAATGTAAAAAGAATTCTATGTTATTTCTTAGAGGTCAGAGCAGTAAGTCACATAAACCTGTTTTCTACTTGACATAGCTGCGCAGCAGTACTCAGTGTTGTCTTTAGGACTGTCACAAACTTTTTTTTTTCCCTGTTCCCCTGATGTAATAGTGAAAGTATATTGGGTAACTTCAGATTATGTGCTGTATCTGTCCTTCCAGTACCACTGTACTTAAATTGCCCACCTAATTATGTGACATCAAATACACGCTCTTATATCTGAAAAGTATAAATAACTGGATTTTACTCTAATTGAATTCTTTTTACAGCAAACATTGTGTGATATTCTTGAAGCTAAGTTATTTCATCCTTTTAAATATTTCAGTAAAAGAAGATAGGCTACCTGTAATGCTGAGTTTCATTGGAGGGCAGAAATCGAGGCAAAAATTGAACATAATGCAATTTCCTTAATCATGTTTCTGCTGGTTTTATTATGAGGTTATTTAAGCTTTGGTGAAGATGTGTGTCTTGTGTAGAAGACACTTCAGAAAGAGAATCTTGTCAAGATTTTCCAGGCACTTAATGGTGTCACTGACTTCTGTGTCTAATCTGAATGCTGTTCCTATGAAATTTTTGCTCTACCTCAAGTTAATATATATCTGTTTGATGTCTGATTCTTTGTGATCTAATCATAACCACAAGTTACTGTATGTATTACACACTAAAGGGCTTTCATTTCTTTTTTTTTTCCAGGCAAAATTGGCAAAGAACTATGGAATGACCCGCATGGATCCCTACTGCCGAATACGGCTGGGGTATGCTGTGTATGAAACCCCCACAGCACATAATGGAGCCAAGAACCCTCGCTGGAACAAAGTTATTCAGTGCACTGTTCCTCCGGGTGTGGACTCTTTTTACCTAGAGATATTTGATGAGGTCAGAATGTTGATACTGCTTTCGTTTCCTCATCCCTTGTTTGGGCTGAGGTTTGGGTGGAATCCTATGAGGTAGAATTGAGTTAGCAAAAGCTGTTTCTTAGCTGCACTCTCTGGAAGTGCAGCTGAGAACTAACTCCTAACTGATAGCATGTTTTTATATTGCTGGGTTAGCCAGAAATTCTTCATTGTTCTAACACAGAAAGAGGTTAACTGCAAGCCCATAAATACTGAGAATAAACCAATCCTATATAGAATGTGTAGTTCACTGGGAATAATTTGGAGAAACATAACTTTATGCCTGAATTTAATGGCAAGTCTCTACATGTCCACTTAAGTATATTTTACTTAATGTGCAGAGCTGATAAACTGTTTACAGGTTACAAATTTCAGTTTCTCAGAGATTAAGTACATCTGATTAACAGATCAGTTAAGTAACCTGCTCTGCAAACGTTGCTTATAGGAGCAGTACTGTCACGAATTCTAATGTGTTATTCTACTAGATGTTGTTATTGGCAGCAGGGAGTATGTGCCTACATGTTAACTGTTCCATTTTGGGATGTTGACTTTGACTTAGAACAAACTTGTGTTCTCAGGCGAAGTAAGAGGCTGCAACTGAGGCAGATGTCTGTGACCTGCCCTTCCTTGCTGCCCCTCTTACTGTTTAACTCGACACTGCAGTAGCTGCGCTTGTTACACAAATGAGGCTTTTGAATGCTGTTCTGTGATATAATTGGTTGAAGTTTCATTACTGCAACATGGGAGCACATCAGTGCTTGCTTGTGAATTACTGGAGTTATATTTAAATGTAAACAGAAGCTGATTCTTAGTGTGACTGCTCATGAGTGATTGCTGTCTACAGATATACACCTGTTTAAATACTTTCTGCCTTATGGATAGGATGTCCTGCATTCTGGTTGTTTAATCAGGTGGAGTCTGGAAATATTTATAGAATGAACAAAAAAATACAGAAGTATTCTATGTCAATATTTATTAATGTTTATGCAACAAAAAAGCTTTCAGTACAGTTTCTTGCAGTATCCTTCTCAGCTGCATACAGCTAGACAAGTGCTTAATACAATGGGTGAAGAACTAGCTGACGAGTCAGGCTCAAAGAGTGTATAGGTCAGGCTGACAGATCTGTCACTAGTGGGGTTCCACAGGACTCTGTTTTGGGGTCAGTTCTCTTTAATGTTCTTATAAGTGATCTTGATACAGGAGTCAAATGCATACTAAGAAAGCTTGCAAATGCTATGAAATAAGGGGGAGCTGTTGACTCCCTCAAGGGTAGATAGCCTTTGCAGAGATGTTGACTGACTAGAGGGCTGGACAATTTCCAACCACATAAAGAAGTAAGAAGAGCAGTGTCAGATTCCCCACCTGGGAATGGGGAAATCCTGGATACACATGTATGGATGAGGGGACGAGAGGCTTGGGAGCAGGCCTGCAGGAAAAGGATCTGAGGATTCTTGGTGACAGCAAGTTGAATGTGAGTCAGCAGTGTGCCCTGGCAGCCAAAAGGGGAATCTGTACATCTGTACCTTGGGTCCACCAGGCCCAGTGCTGCCAGCTGGGTGAGGGGAAGGGCTGGACCATTGAACTGTGTGGCCTCACCTCCAGCACTGTATGCAGTTCTGGGTGCCACAGTATTGGGAGGGCATAAAACTGTGGTGTATTAGAGAGCACTTGAAGGAGAGCAACAGAGATAGTAAAGAGTCTAGAGGGCAATAATTAGGAGGAGTGGCTGAGGTCAATTGATTTGTTCAGCCTAGATAAAAGAAGGCTGGGAGATGACTTCCTGCAGTCTGTACTCTGTGACACTTCATGTGTGCAGGTAGATTGCAGTAAGGTAAAATGGAGACTTTTTTTTTCTTTCTTCTCTAGCGTGCCTTTTCAATGGATGATCGCATTGCTTGGACACACATTACAATTCCTGAATCTCTAAAACAAGGAAATGTGGAGGATGAATGGTATAGCCTGAGTGGAAGACAGGGTGATGACAAAGAAGGAATGATTAATCTGGTGATGTCATACACGGTAAGTCAAGTTTAAGGTGAGAATGAGAGAGATAATGAAAAGAGATATTTTAGATTAAAGCAGGAGTATTTCCATTGTATCTTACTATTATGTGTGTGTTAGCATTTAAAATATTTGTACTTTATTTTGCAAATAGCAGCCAAAAATATTAAGTTAGTAAATCCTTCTTGGCGAGGTAGTAAATGAATATTTATTTGGCTAATCCTTAGTCAAATAATCTGCTTTGATTTCTAATTTGATTAAAACAACAACAAACAAAGATTCCACTTCATATTTAGAAGGTCGTGTCAGTTTAAAAGTAAAAGTAATGGCAGCTGTTCTTTGGTCTTTTTGGAAAGTTTGAGTGCTCTGATGACTTGAATTCTTATTTCCATTTTTATTTAGTGCTTGTTAATTGAACTGCTGACTTTGGTCTATTTAGTAGTTTCTGGACTATTCTCTAGTCTCTTATCTTTGTCATAAGTATCTGTTGAATAGCCTGATAGTTTCTCAGTGCTTCCTACTATGCTTGTGCATGATCAGAAATTCCAAGTTGTTGCTGAGTGCACAACTGTGAAAAGGTGCTTCTGCTATTTGAATTTCCTATTTGGCCCCACAGCTGAACAATTAATTGTTCCTTTACCCCTAGGTTAGAAGAATTTTTATTAACCTTTAAAATGTGTACCAATGGATGTGTTGCACACAGAATCTGACCTTCTAATGTCTTCCATGATGAAAGTAAACAGGAATTGTGGTAGTATAAAGGAATGGACTCGAGCACTTTTAAAAGTACTAATTTACCTCAAAAAATGATTTGAACTAATCTCTACTCTTAATAAAATTCAGTTGTCATTTCAAAGAGGAGTATTTCAGTTAACTTGCCAAGAATTCTGCTTAACACAAATTGGATAGGTTTTATTGGGCATGCAATGCAGATTTTTCTGTATTACAGTGTGGTGACTTTTTGCAAATGTTTTTTTAATTGGCATCTTTTAAATTATTTTAATCTCTGTTGTTCTTTGTGTCTAGTCTTTGCCAGCTGCCATGATGATGCAGCCCCAGCCAGTGGTTCTGATGCCCACTGTATACCAGCAAGGAGTGGGATATGTGCCTATAGCAGGTATGTTGTCTGTCATTGAAGACTAAAGCTGCCAAGTAAAGGGGTTTTGCAGAGATATCTACCAAGTTTCTCTTCGTTTATGGAATGCGAAGGGAGCTTATAACTGATTTCATCCTTGACTGTTTTTTCCATGATACCGGAGAAGAGGAAATGAGTTAAGTGTAGACCTGATTTCAGTCTTTTTGACCTCTGAGTTTGAGAGAGATGCATAAGTTTGGATTAAAATGACTATAAAGTCAGAACGAGTAGCATGAAGTCTACTTTTATTGAGTATGAAATCTAGACTTAAGTCATTAAATAACTAAATAGACTGGAACATAGTTTGTCAGATATTGTGTGCTGTGAAGATGGTGGCAACCCAGGTGAGAAAATGCTCAGACTTCAGAAAGCACATCACATTTGTGTAGCCAGAGCTGCAGCTAAAACTGACTATAGAGGGATTATCCTTCCTGTGGACCTTGAAGATGCTCTGTTGGAAACTTGCTACACAGCACATGAACTGCTTAACATTGTTAATGAAAAGTATTAGGGAGCTCTGAGATAAATCAATGGAAGTATATCAAGAAGCTAAAAAAAGAAAAGCAGTTGTCAGTTGCCTTGGTCTGTGCAAAGTAAACTTTGGACTTGTACAGATAGATGTGTTAGGTTTTGTAGAGTTACTGTCGAAAGTAAAGCTTCAAGTATATAAATAACCGTGCATTTGCTCTTCTTAAATAACTGGTAAGTAAAATTTAGGTTTTCTGTTTGTTTTCTATTTCGCTTTCAGCTCTTAAAAGCTCTAGTTTGAACATGAATTCAGCAAGATAGTGCTCTTAATGGAAAATAATCTCACTGATATATTTTTGGCTTCTTTGCATACGTTTGTATGAATGAGTGACAGAGTATATGGGACACAGTTACCTAACTGAGGACTGGCACAATATATTTTCCTTTTAGACTCAATTCTTGATTGAATTTAAGTTTCATTTTCTGAAAAAGCAAATTTCCACAATAGGAGTGTGGATATTTAGCTTCAGAAGATTTGCCTCCTGCTTCATTTTTAGTGTTAAAGCAAAACATAGGAAAGTTTGGTTACATACTGAACTCCCTGATGAAAATTTATAGAATGCTTCATTTAAAGTGGTTTTTATCTCTAGAGCTTCATTCTCAGGATTTAAGTCTTGCTTGCTTTGCCAGAAAACTAGTCTAAACTATTGTGTGTATTCTGAAGTATCGTTTCCATCATGGTAAGCTTCTGTGGTTTTTCTGTTCTTGGATTAGATACACCTTCTTGGATTCATCACATCCTGATACACTGAAGCAGCTAGTAAACCTCAGATTTAGTACTTGTGTGGGGTTAAATAGTTGGTTAAATAGTTAAATAGGTGAAATGTTTTTTTAAAAAAAACAGCTATAGAATTTCTCGAGCAGATCAAAACAGTGATACTCATGCTGTGCTAGTGAGACTGCAAACAGTGAAAATGAAGCAGAGGTTAATTTCAGATGTAACTGAAAGCAGACATCTGACTGAACAGGTAAAACTGAAAGTAGACCTTCAGAGTTAGAAAAACAAGTACAGTGGTGTATCTTGAGATTAAGATGTTGGTGTTCTGTAAGTTTTGTGTTGACCTTGAGTATATTTTCAGAAATACTTTAAAAAAAATTGATTTGGACAGGTGAACAAATAACTGATGTTTTAGTGCATGTAATTGTAATGCCTGACGTTTTATCATATGAGTATTTATGCATTGGTTTTGTTGATGTGTATGTTGGGGTCTCCCTTCTGTGAAGATGCTGCATGTTTTGTTTTAAGTATTGCTACAATAATCTTCTTTATTAAAAGTTCTTCCTGATGATAGAACTTTTATTTCTAAGATGTTGTGGAGTCCCACCATTCCATTTAAACTTTTTTGTTCTGAGAAAACTTGAATGTACTTTGCTAATTCATAAATGCCAAACTAGCTTATTATAAACCACCCTTCACCTGTTTATATTTTTCACAATTTTGATAAGTTTTTGAAACTTTTGAAATTACTCTGCCACCTGTTTACTTTCACAGAATTTGTGGGCACTGCGGAAATTTCTCAAAGCACTGTGAGTTTTAAAGCCTTTGCCTATTCACTAATCGAACGACCCACTCGTAATAATTGGAAGGATGGTGAAGTTTGGCCTCTCCTTGCAAGTGACTTCAGAATACTTCTTCTGTTTGAGGCATGATTATGTAGCTTAAAGAAAGGCAGCGATAGGGCAGCAGTGTGTTCCAGAGGAGTATGTTTATCTTGTTCCATCTCTTCAGTTTCAATTTTCCTTCCACCTATCCACTTTAATGAGTGTGGATGGCGAAGTCCTATTTGGTTTCTTCAGGAAACTGGAAGAGCAGCACTGATTAACTTATTGCCTCTGTAAGGAATAAGATTTTGCTGTTGGACAAGATGAAATCTAAGTATTGTCAAGGTGGAAAATAGGTTCAGGAGATGGACTGGAATATGCTTATCCAATCCAGTTCACAGTTATTTGTGGTAACTGTCCAAAATAACTGAGTTTTAAAGTGAGATGGTAGTAAGTCAAATTTAGGTGTGTCTAGAAGGGCCACACTGTGGTGGGGATTATTTTGTGGATAACAAAATTCTGTTTAAAAACTTGGCATACGTAACTAACTTTCTAATTAAGGTCAAAACAAATGATATTGCTCATACAGTATTCTTGCACTGTGTGAAACTGGTTTGAAGGTTTTAAAAATTAAAGAATCCTGATAATAGTGCTAGTTGCTACAAGCTATAGTCACATAAACTGGGTTTGAAAATACTGAACTTCTGTGTCAGAAGTTCTTCTAAAACTTGGCTTTACTCATATCCTTTCACTTATGTCTTCTAAACTTCAGCCAGTTTAGTGCTGTTGAATACAGTGTGGTACATAGGTTGCCAATCAAAGCTGGTCTTCTAGCAGGATATGAAAGGCAGTAGGTTTAGCACAGGTAATTCAATGAAGCTGGATTTCTTTACAGATAAGTTGTCACTGGATAAAGTGCATTTGCACTTGACTTAACCTACTTGTTATAAAGGGGTTGTTAAAAATTAGGAATTTCCAATGCTCATTCAGAGTTTGGAATATTAGTTTTCTGAGAGGCAAACTTGTATGTATGTGTATGTTACTCCTTCAGGTCTCCATATTGGATATGTTGGGTTAGTTTATGAAAGTTGTTTATTCAGAACAGCACAGATGTTTGCTGTCCTTTCTGGGCTATAAATGCATAGTAGCTTATTTTGGGAACATATTCTTATTTCAATAAAAACAGCACATCTAGGAGGCTTTTTCGGAGTGCTGGAACAAAAATAGCTATGAGACTGAATCCTAGCAACATTTCATTTTTGCTATTAGGTAGTGTAGCTTTTATGTAGTTAGCTTATCCAACTTTCACCTTTAGAAACTAAATGTTTTATTTTCTTTTAAATATAGATTAATGTTTCTTTCCCATGTCTTATTCCTTTTCCCTTGCCCCTTCATTTCCACCTATCTTTAGGGCTTGAATACTTTGCTCTGGGTAAGTTTCCAAGCTCTCTACTCACTCCCATCATCATTGATTCAAGTCTGTGCATGAATTCATATAGACAGCTTTATTTACATTGCAGCAGACTGTATCACAAGGTATTTCCACTTGGATGTCACAATAAAATAATTTAATGCATCTCTTGAAATTGCTGAAGTCCTTCTAATCTGTGGGAGATTCCTTAATCTTTTGCTCAACTTCGGTATATAAGGATTGAAGTAGTTGGTGATAGTGCTGATAAAATGTGATGCTAATTTTCTTCTGAAACTGTTCTGTGTCAGTGAGCTGTTTTCGCTGGCAGCACTGGTTTCTTGGAAGAGAAATTTTTAATCTTGCAGTTTTTCTCCTGCAAGATTTGGGGAGAATGAGGTGTAATGTCATGACTGTTTGTGAACTTTGAAGTGAAGAACTCAACTGTGCAGTGACATTCTGACAAGACAGCCTGTCACCTACCTTCTGTTACTTCTTAAATTAGCCTTTTTTTGTAAGAGGTAACATTATTTCATCAGTACGCATCTTACACTATTTTAGATTCATGTGAAGTTAAGTATCTGACATGATTCTAAAGGTGAGTTCTGTTACAGAAAACCATTTTTTTCTTCAATTTAAGCTTACTTTAATATGGCACGTTTAACTTTGGAACTGTGCAAAGATATTGTGACATCCTTACCTTCAATATAAGTATTGGTGTTCAATCAAGTATGTTCAGAAAATCTAGATTTATACATAGTGAGATAAATTATTCTTTGATGCTCTGAATCTCAGAAAAACACTGTAAATGCAAGAGACGTGCTGCCACAGTGTATTTAGTTTCATCAGAGCAATGTAAAACTTCCAGAGGTTCATATTCTTATGTCACCTAGCTGTTTGGCAGGTTAAAAATCCACATTAAAGAAAAGTGGTGGCATCTGTACTTCTAGAACTGACTCTTTCTTTCTGAGGCAAATGTCACTAGGACCTACTGGAATACAAATCTTGAGTCTTAAGACAAAAAAGTGATACTGATTTTTTTTTTTGTCTTTCTTTTAAAGAATTTGTAATGAAGAGGCTCATGAGTTAATTTTGGAAGAATCATCCCTGTATATAAAACAAAATAGTAATGAGATAATAAATGTAGGGTGCTTGACTGAACAGTAAAATAAGTGTGTAATGCCTTGTGTGCAGCTGGAAAATGTTTACACTCAAGGCTTTGTTGGTGCTTTCTTGCTGCTTTTAGCAACTGACTGCTGTTGTACTTGCTTCACTTACTGGAATGCCATTGCTTATGCCAGCATGTTTGCCATTGCCATCTCACTGAATTAGAAAACAGTGCTCCATTCTTCTGATATGTGACACCCATTATCTGAGACCAACACAGGAAGGTTCCGTTATACCTAGAGGATGCTTATGTGGTTTAGTTTCAGTCTTCACCTGTTAGTGAAATGAGCTGCTTAATATGTAAAGCAGCTTTTTACTCAACAAAGAAAAAGTTGAGGGTTATTACAGCTACTCTGGTAACAACTGTTACACACATGTATGTCATACATCCCATATATATGTATGTTAAATTACATAGTGTGTAAGTTTATGCTTAAGTCTTGCTTGCTATTTTGTAAATCAGAAATAATAGATGCTTTTAGTCTGGGGTGGAGACAACAACAAAGCCAAGAAAAATGTACTCTTGAAACTGGTGATGTTAACTTTTATGGAAAATAAACATTTATTCTGGAAATGCTTGTTAAATATCACTGATACGAACTTCCTTTACTATAATCTGAATGTGGGGAGAACAATATAGCAAGAAATATCTCATCTCTAAAATTGGATATTTACACTGGCAGTACTTAGCATTGCGTGTGCAGATATCTGGCCTCATAATTATCTTGTTTTGATGTAAGCAATAAGGAAATTGTTTTTTTTTTTTTTTTTACAGAGGCAGGCTTACTGGTAAGCTATAGGATGCTGTGACACTTCAGAAGTGAGCTTGATGCTTCATTTGTCTTAACGTTTTAAACTGGTCTTTTTTTACAGACAGATCTTAAATAGTTAAGCTGATAGCTGGATAGTCTTATGGTGCTGATGACTTACTAAAGAAAGTTAGGAAACTTCACTTAAAAGTAAAGCATAACTTTTCTTGCTCTGTTCTTTACGCCTTCAAATTTACGTGATTTCAAACTTATTTATGTTTTATAAGTGCCTGCGGTGTTTTAGGAAGAGTGAGGAGGAGTTGAAGTGTGTTGAGGCTCAGAAGAGGCAATCTGAAATGCTGCTGCTGGATGTGGTTATTGTATAAGGAGTTGTATTTGCAGCATTGGTGAGGGCTACTTTGTGGTTTACTTCTGGGTCACAACCATAATCTGATTTGCCAGATGGTCGAAGAATCTGATAGTGCTAAGCAGAATCTGAGGGAACATGATCCAAATGGCTTAAGAAGCTCTAGAGCCCAAGTTTAGGTTGTTGCCAAGTTTAGGTTGTTGTGGAGGGGGCTGTAGATGTCCTTGTGAGGGAGTGTGGTACATATGGCTGGGCAGAGATAGTTCGAGTGTGTGGGTAACAAAATTATGTTGAGAAGTGGCTTTTATTTAGATGCCAGTGTGAACCTTTTGAAATAGATGCAGCCTGTGCTACCTAGACTTAGAGTACCTAGGTTGCTTTTCTGCTTCTAATAAAGCTGAAGAAGATTACTAAGAGAATTCTAAAATCAGAGAAGACTGATAAACATTGAGACGCTTACAATTCAGTAATGCTCTTCAGCATGAAGTTGAATAGGACTGAAGTCCAAGTTGAAGGAAGAAATAGCAAAGAATATGCTAAGTAAAACAACAGTTGTGGTGCAGTCAGATTGTATTCAATTAGGAGGCATTGTCAACTAGAGTTTGATATAAGTTAAGGTGGTGATCCAGCCATGAATATCAGTTTTAATACATCACTTTAAGGTTGAAATAACTGTACAAGTTAGTAAGCATAAGCAAACAATGTGGTTCTGTAGGAGAACTCATACCTCAGGAATTGTAGGGGTCTTATGAACACGTAGGGCCTTAACTGCAATTTTCATGTTGTCATTTGTAAAGGAGTCTTTTGTATGAAATCATAGAAATAAGTCTTCTGTTTTAGTAGCTATTTTGAAGATCTGCTGAACAAATGAATATAAGTGTGATCACCTCATGAAAGAGGTTATTAGTGGAGTGCATCATATAAGAAAGTAATCACATGAAGGGAGCTAACAGACAATTTGTCAATTCAAAAGCTCTTTTCAATTTTCTAAGTCTGCACAAGTTGTGGAACTATCTGGTATCACTGAGTGGGACAAAATGTGACATTCTTAGGTAACTGCTAAGCCAAGTATTGCATGTAAAGATAAAATACGTATTTGGTGCTGCTTTGATCATTAGTATGTGTACAGATGTGAGTTATTGTGGACTGCTCTTTGAAAACATCAGGTGAATGGTGTACAGAAAAGTGGATAAAACATCAGAAAGGGAATAAATGACTTTACTGAGCTGCTGTGTGAAGCACTGGCACAGTTGCATTGTGATGCAGACAGTTCTCCATATCCTGTTTTAGAAACACAGCAGAAATGAAAAAATTAATGTATAAACATGCGAGTCTAAGATAAGCAGGGGGATGGCTTGTAGTGAAACAGGCTTCATTTTCAGGATAGGTAACAGCCTCTGAATGTTCTATATGTGGTTTTAGTTCTTCAAAAACAAATGGTAGTTTTTCAGCAATAGATGTAGGCCAAGTTAATAATAAAAGTCAAAGGATGTAAAGGAGCTTTTGTCTATTAATTCTATTTAAGAGTAATTCAAGAACTCACGTACTGAAACTTTCTAAACTGACAATGCTTTAATTACACACAGCAATGCAGAAAGTTCATTAAAAATATCAAATGAATTTTGTACTGAAGCAGAGGTACTTAGAGAAGTAGCGTGTACCCTTGAGGGCTTAAGGGGAATTGTACTTTTGCTACTTTGGGGCTTTGCAGGAGGAACTTGAACCAAGGAAGACCATTTGCTTGAGATTCATTTATGTGGTTGAGCCCTTTCATGGACATGATTTCCTTTTAATGTGATGAAGATTATATTTTTTGAATGTCTACTTATTGGTTATGTATATTGTTGGTTTAAAAAGCAGCTTATCACAATATAAATACAATAGGGCCTAAAATATGCTTAGTATCTGATGACTTACATGTAAGCCTGGCTGATACAGTTTGTATCTTAATTCTGAGCTGTATCTATTGCCATACTGCTTATTGCTTCTGAAATGTAACTTGGGCAGAGAACCAGGAAAGTGCTTTTGGTTGCAACAACCTTTGTGATCTCTGAAGTAGGTGGGTTAGTGGTAAGGGATGGAATGCTTCCTCCTTCATGGTCGTTAACTTTTCTCTCATTTTTTTTTTTTTTCCTGCATGCAGGAATGCCTGCAGTCTGCAATCCTGACATGGTACCTGTGGCAATCCCACCTCCTGCAATCAATCCTCAGCACCTGTGTAACGAAGAGGACCTGAAATCTATTCAGGACATGTTTCCCAACATGGACAGGGAAGTAATCCGCTCAGTGCTAGAAGCTCAGAGAGGGAACAAGAGTGCAGCTATCAACTCCTTGCTTCAGATGACTGAAGAATCATAGAATCACTTCCTGCGTTGTCCCTTTCCTCAATGCCACTTATTTTTACTTGCCAAGCCAGGGATTTAGCTAGAGGAAGAATTTCCTAACAGTTTGCTGTTAGTGCATCCTGTATTCAAGAATATATCCCCTTTTCTCCTTGAGCATTTGGATCTTTTCACTTTCTTACGCTAAACTGAGTATGTGCAGGTAGAGAATGTCCTACAGTACAGCGTTGAAACATCTTTGATATCACCTGTGCCCTGTTTGGCTGTATTCTGAGGGAATAATGCTGCTTTTTTTCCTTTCTCTCCCTCTGTTCAAAAACTTGTTCTTACAGAATAACTCTATGCAGTACAGGATTTACTACTGTTTGTTAGGGTGGAAAAATTGCTTTTCCAACGGAGGGTTTGCTTTTTGAACAATTTATTTGAAGTGTTTAGGTTTAACCAAGCAACCTGTTTATAGCAGAAATTAAAAGAAAGGCCTGCTCCTTGTCCTGCAGTGGTCAGTTATTGCTGTGAGATATTCAACTGCTTGTGATTGATGGAAGATTTTTGGTTCAATCAGTTATTTCTAAAGTTGTGCTTGTTGGTATTTCTAATGAGCATCTTCCCTTCAATCTAGAGCACCTAAGCAGTATATCATCTCGTGTGCACCTAGGGCTTTTATCACACCATAGAACATGGTTATATATCTGTAAAGTCTTAACAAATGACTTTTGTAACTTGTGCAGTCTACTGCTATAGCAGAGAACAAGACTGAACCCTAATGTCACTACTGCTTTTGCATTCCCATGACTATTTCAAAGGACAAATGCAGAAGGGCAGAAGGAAAGATTTTGGAGAATTAATGAAGCTATAAAAATTTAAGGTATTGCTGTTGATTTAAAAAAAAAAAAGAAATGTATCATCTGTTTAAGGCTTCTTTCTTCACATCTATATTTCAGCAAAATTACCATTGTATATTAGTAGACAAACTATTGTATTTCTTTGTGCAATTTGAAAGTAGAAGCATGAAAAACAGTCTCAATCTCTGAATGTCACTGAGTTGCCCAATGACTTGCTGATTGTGTTTGCTGTGGTCACAAAATGGTTGAAATTGGAGGGCATCTCTGAAGGTCAGGTGGTCCAACCCAATTTATTTGATACAGGTGGAAATAATTCTTCGTGGGAGAAAATGTAACATATCTGACTTAGTCTGATTCTCAAAGGAGGTTAGAGGTTGCTTGTATTTATTATTAGTGGGTTTTTTTTCCAGAAAACAGTTCACCTTGGAACTGCAGAATCTTACAGTAGGCACCAGTTATCCTGTTGGATAATTTTCTGCAGTGTCTGTTTTTGTAGATGATAAAGTAATGCACTTTAAGTAGTATGTACCAGTTAATTTTTTCAGTGATGTGCAATGTTGCTGTTTTATCTTTTTTAATGTTTGATTTCAGATACTTTCTACAATAGCCATAAACTGTTACATTTTCAAGAGTTGGAATGAATGTACACTTGAAATCCAGGCTCTTAACTGATTCATGAGAACTTTGCATTTAAAGCAGTGTCTGGAATAGGGAAAAGGGACCCTTATTCTCTTTTTCCTCAAACTCTGCTGCATGTCACACACTTAAAATATTCTTTCATATCTGCTGAAAAGCTGATTCCTCCCCCCCCACCTACACATAAGAAATCTTTGGGTAGCACTGGTGGTAAAGTATGAATATTTATTTTTTTATAAAGAAAAATGATGCTGAAACCTTTAAAATACAGTGTTCAAATCTGTCCTGGTTCCTGATCTTTTAAAGTTGTTTTTTTCATTATAATGAACTTTACATTTTGTTACAAATCTCCCTACAGTTGTAAATTTACCTTTGAATGCATAAATATCCTTATACATCCTCCCATGGTCTTAATGAGATTCAAGAGTTCACTTTTTGTGCTTTAGTAGTAGAATCCCTGCATTTTGTTTTTCTAAAATAAAACAGGTGTTCATCAAGAAACTCATCTTGTACCTTCCCTCCAGTTACTGTAAGTGTTGTGATTGAATAGGTGTGGAGGCATTTGGCCATTGTCTTCATAGCACAAACTTGACATTGCCCAAAAGGGTAAATACTCTCAGCTGTGTCCAGGATAACCTCCCCTGTGCTGACTCTTACTCAGAGTAAATTGATAGAGATGTAACAATTCAGGGAAAATGTATCTGTTGGATTTTTTAATATTAAAATGCTGGGATCTGCAATAACAGCTTTTAATAAAAGCAGTCACAGTTCAATTAATGGCTGGTAAATTGTACTGCATCCTGTGACAGCTCCATTTCAAGGACAGAACAAACACTTCTCAGTTGTAACCTTCAGAAGGAATGAGAATGCTAGGTTAGCTAGGCTTATTCATAAACTAGGTTCCAGGCCTCTGAGCAAGCCGTAGCTCTTGTTAAATATTTGTTGTTGTTGTTTTTGTTTAATGCAAATGTTATGCAAAATAGGGTAGGTAGGAGCTGACGAAAGGAGATTTAGGAGCAGTGTGGCCATAGATGGGATTCAACGTGTTAAACTGTATTTAAATACTGTTGTTGGGATTTTTGTTTTGATTTACTTAAGCATTATAGCTGAAAACTTTATTTCAAGATCTTCTTTTAAAAGCAAACACTGATTGTGATCCTACTCAGCTTTTCAGCATAAATAGCCTCAGTCAATCTGCTCATTCAGGTTTGAATTTGAAAGAGGTGGAAAAAAGGTGGGGAGTAGGTTGGCTTTCCTACAGCCTGTGAAATGAAAGCGTTGGAACCAAAAGTCTGATTCTTGATATAAATTGTCACTGTTGTAGCTTTTGATGAAATGCTGATGGGATGATACTGTTTGACACTGTTCTTTTGCTCAGCAGCTTCAAGCAGCTCGGAGCCAAAGCCAGATGTAAAAGCCTGGCACCTGCTAGAAGTGAATGCTTTTAGTACTAATTTGAGTCCTGCCAAGAGCCTGAACTTGCTAAGAATAGGAACATTTCTTGTCTAGCTAGATCCTTGCTGCTTTCTTCTCTACTGCTGTTTGCATCTGTTGATGGTACCGAATGTTTTTCCCTTACAAATGTTACTGCTTGTTTGGTTGATCTGTAATACAATACAGAGAATGTTTTTTGCTGTAATAATTCTGAAGACATTGTTTCTCTCTGTATTGAGGTCCAGTGTCCAAATGTTTCTTGCACTCTAGAATACATAAACGTTTTGTTCTAATTTAATAAATGTATCATCTAAATGAAAGTGTATCATGTCTCTGTTGGAGGACACCTCAGTTTGCTTATCTATAGACTGATACAGAATTTGTGTATCAGTTACACTTGCTAAATGTAAATGTGATCATCCAGTAGGACTGATGCTGTGAATGCTCAGAAGTGTTTTAAGCATTTATCTGTAGGCGTTTGCCTTTCTTTAACACTTCTAGGTCTGGAGGACAGGCTGAAGGGGTGGTGGTGTCCCTGGGAAAAGGTCACAAAACTGATATAATGTTTCAGCTACAAGATAAAACTGGTTTTACCTGCTGGTTTTTAATTTATTGAGGAATTTTAAGGATTTGATTTACTATCTTCTTTCAATTCTGTCCTTAACTAGAAGGCTGAGGTCCTTTTTTGTGTTCAGCAGCATTGCTGTGCTCAGTGAGAATGAGCTGCTTGTGGTGCTTTCCTGTAGCTCTTGAGTAGCAGCATCTATCCTGATTTATGTTCTAAAGCTTACCACTTGCTTTCACATTTCTCCAGCATACTGAGGGTGTAGCAGAAATGCTAAGTCACAGCTTGAAGCAGTGATTGAGCACCTGGTGGGAAGGCAGGGCCAACCCAGGGGAGCTCAGGTGTATGCAATGTACCTGAGTGATTGGAAGGGGTGGAGCCAGGATCTGCCCCTTCCCAGACCTCATCTAAAGGTTGGCAGTGGAGGAAGGGGATCTCTCTGGTGTTCTCTGTATACCTGAAGCCTTCTGAAAGTAAGCAGCTTCTTTCCTTTGTTTCTGTGCCTTGCTTGTTGCAGCCTAGGATTCTGCTACTCTGTTATTGTTGCTGTGCTTTCCATCATGTTACAGAGAGCAAGTGAGAATTAATTTACATAAACAAATGTTGGCTTTCATGTAATGGCTGAAGCATCTGCTTAGCATTTCATTGCTTATTAGTGCTTGCGTTTCAATGCTGATTACCCAGTGATGGTATTTGGGAATTTAATGAGAAGTTGGAGTATTTTGAATGATTAAAACATCTAACTACATCAGTGAAAACAGAGCCTCAAGGAAGAAATAGAAATTTTCTTTAAGGAGGGGAAATGAGAAGCCACAGTTGCAATATTCTCTGTTGCACTTTTAAGTTGTGCAGATTTCAACTTTCTTAGATCTTTTGCAAGCTTGCTCAGAAACTCAGGTTGATCTGTTTTCATACTATACTTTGTATACACTAGAAGCATCTTGCCAATTCATGGAATTCCTTTCGTAAGGAAAAACTGTAATTACGTATCATAACATTCAAAGTAAAAGCTGCATATAAATTAGGAAGGTGAAAGAGTGGAAGCAAGCAGATGGATTTCAATCTTTGCTACATCCACATGGGGGAGAACTATGAAAACACTGCACTGGACAATTTGAAGAGTTCATTTAGAACAGATCTTTAAAAAGATTCAGTGTACTGATCTGGAGTATGAAGCAGACTGTGAACAACATCTTTAATTTCACTGCATTTGACATTGTAAGTGAATGAGGAATGTTTTGAAGTTATTTCCAGTTCCAAGTTCAGTGTCCCCTTCCACTCACAATACTGTTACCTTCCACATGTTCGCTGTCCATTTCTTTCTAGATTGGCTTCAGTTATTTGGCACTGTCATGTTTCCATCCCCTTAAAATAAGTAATTTATTACTAATCAGCTTCATGTTGTAGCATTTCTTTAGAATCAGCTCAGAAAAAGGAGTTTTTATAAAACAGTTTTTATTGCATTTTCAACAAAGTGTGAATTAGCACATTAACAAGCTCTGTTACCACTGATTTTATTCACTTGTAAGTAAACTGGCAACAATTTAAGCTTAGTTTCAAGGTTGTGGTAACCTGAGAGTCCTGAAGATACTTCATAGAGGATCAAGCAGATCATCTCTGCTTGGAAGTGTTTGAAACTAAAAGCTCAGGTAGCTGGGAATGGTATCAGCTCTGATATCAGCAGGAATGTTTTCACTGAGGTGGTTTAGGTCCTCACATGATCAGTATTGTAGCATGAGAGGCTGTGGGTTGTTGTGTTTTCAGGTGTCTTTTGTTCATCAGCTGAATTCATTGATTGGTAGTTAACAGAACATAAGCTGCAAGAAGCAGCTAAATGCTTCCTGGCACACCTTAGGGCTTACATCCATGTGATACTGAATCTTGGTCCAGGGCTCTGCCTTCACAATGAGTGTTTTGGAAGGATATAACATGATCTGTGTCTTACTTAAACACTGTGGAAGCGGTAAAATACCTTGAAAAGGGCTCAGGCCATTGAGCTACTCTGCAGGATTCTGTATTGAAGGTGATCCATCTCCACAATCTTCAGTGGAGGAAATTAAAGTGAAAGCAGCTGGGAGAGCTTAATTACTTCAATGTGGTGGTGTTGTCAGCTGTTGGCAAATAATGTAACCATAAAGACTGTTGTGACTGTGTGTAAGAGGCCACAAATCTGCTGTGATTTGCTAAATGTTAGAATGCAGTATTTGCTGTTTTTAATAGTTGCTTGTATGTTTTAAATAAAGATGTTTCTATGCTGATAATGTAAGTTGGGAGGGGGTTGAAGAGAGGCAAGGAAGCTTATGGAAAAAAATAAATCTCAGATTTCTCTGTATGGGGAAAAGGCAGTCCGCAGGAAAGGAATAAGTGAAAATTGATTCAAGGTTCATAATATTTTTAAGACTTGAAGCTATGACTTTTTTTTTTACAAAAATAATGGATGAAATTATATAATCTGTTATGTAAAGATGGTCAGGATGCTGTGTTTTGTTAATTCCTTCTGGTTTTGCATAGTCTGAGCCAAGCCTATGTCCTTTTAAATCCCAAGATCACAAAACTATCACAGCTCTGAATGATGCTCATACATCTGGCAAGAACTTTTGCACATACCTCCTATTTCACAGAACTACAGTAAGCCTATTTCTGTAAGCTACTGGGGCAATATTTGGAGACCAGTAAGTCAAATTAATGGCTTATCTTCCTGTTGGCAATATAACCTTGAGGCTTGAGAAAAGAAAGTGTGAGAACAAGAAATATGAAAGTAAATGTATCAGTAGCAATGTTCTGGTATAACTTGTACTGCCTCTTTGAGAATAGAATCAGCACGTGTGTTCTGTGTAGAGGTAAAATTAACAATGCAGGAACTCTGTACGCCACTGGGAGACAAGTAGGGGACTTGAAGGAATACAGCAAACTCCTTACATGCAGTGGTATTGTACTATAAGCATGGATGTGCTACCAATTATCAGTAAGCAAGGCAGGTGGATGGAACTTGTAAGTTAAAAAGCAACAAAATATTTCCTTAAATCACTGCTTTGAGAGTCTGCTTCAAAAGAAGAGGAAAGATGAAAAATGGCAGTGAAATGTGGTGAGGGAAGGGATGTTTGGTGTATGTCTTTGTTTTTAAAGGGAAATCAATTCTTGTACCTTTATTCTCTGAAGTCCTGAGCAGAAGCAAATCCAGGGGACTTGCACTTCAGGTAAGTAGAGTTCAGGAGACACATATGGAGACTTCATGGAACAAATGCTGTACTGCTACTGCAAGTCCAGGGAATGTCTAAGTAAAGCAGAAGTAACTATATAGGAAAACATGCAGACATGCATTTGTTTGATGCTCAGGAAGTAACCATTTTTGTTAAAATATGTGCAGTTATGTACTACACCAAACTCAGAACTTGGAATGATAAAATGTGTGCATGACTTAATGTATCTGGAAATAACTAAACATATATCTTAGTAGCAAGATATCATTACAGAACTACAGATGAATAATACTTAAAACACAAAGCAGTAAATAATGCCAATCTTGAGCTCTTTCTTGTGATTTTCACAAGGTATTGAATGAATTTGAAAGTGGAGATTTTTCATCCTATATTTACTGCTATCAGCTATACTGGTATTTCACTAAAAATTACCATAGAAAAGCATTTAGCTAGATTAGGAAACAGAAAACTGACTTCTGTTGGCAACCAACTACAATGGGCTTGTACGTCAGGGAATGTTAGATGACAATATGGTGGAACTATGCAGTTAGTGTCATTTATTGATGTCTTAACATAATGACTTCCAAGCAAACTCTTGAAAATCTTACAGCTCATTTCGCTGGTGGGACACACTGCTTGCTACTTCACAGCTTCTATTGTCTGAACTGCACAAAAACAAAGATTATGTTCCATAAAAGTCAGTGCATTGTGGAACTGAAGTACTTGCACACAGAGCATGTAAGTTGTCAGTGAGTGTCTGTGATGCACATGCAGTGTTTGTACCTGTGAGAACACTTCAGTATCACTGAACTAAAATGGATGAGTTTACAAGGACTTTTGCCTTCCACTTTGAACTAATCATGTATGCTTGCTCTGTGCTTTCCAAAATGCAAACTACCAACAGTGCTCAGTCAGACAGAAGACTGGGAATAGCCTAAGAGACTAGAAATATTTTTAAAAGATTGGATGAAAGTAATTGTGCTGTAAACTGAGTAGCAATGGCTCCAGTTTATTTTGGTGAATAAAGAACAGTAAATCCCTATTTCTCAATTCTTCCCATAATCCCAAGCAAAATTTGAAATATTGCATGATCTAGCAATATCAGATAAAGAGAAATTTCCCTCTGATGGGTGGCAATGCTTTGCAAAGCTCCCTGTCTACAGCAGAACTAAGGAGGTAGGTACTGTGTCAGTCGTCTTTAGAGAAGAAAACGACCGGTAGAGGGCAGCTTAAGGCTTGAGCTGGAACATACTACTAATGTGTTAATATGGCACTAAAATTAGTTCAGGAGATCCAGCCCAGGAAAAGTTAAGGACTGTTTGTAGTTAGTGAGCATAGCACTAAATGCTCAAGAGTCCAGGGATTAGGGAGTTGGGAAGGAATGAGGAAGTGCACACATCTCACTGGCTTCAGTACAAACTCAAAGGCAATGTTGAAAGCATTTTAGATTTTGTTAGTGTTGCTGGTTTTTTTAGCCTGCTCTGTGACCTATCAGCTCTGCAGGCATCAGTTTGCTTAGCTCAGGTTAATATTGCTATCTCAGCATTGTAATGCCAGGCCTCAAACAGCTGGTGAATGTGAGTGCCTCTTACACAGTGAGCCCTCATGCAGCTGGGAGTGCTGACTGCTTGCCAAGTACAGTGCTAGATCAAAACTCTCTCTGTTCTGTGGTGCTCTGCCCAAAGTGCTAAATGCTTTGGAAGCCAGAAATGTGGAAGTTGCACTGAAGCTGGCTGAGTGCTTCATACACTGGACACTCTCCAGGGCTGACGGGCTGTCTAACTGTAGCAATACCTGGGGTTCGGGTCAGAGTGGTGAATATATGGAACTGCTGGTGCACAGCCTGTCTTGACTCAGCCTTTGTTCCCCATGGCAAGAATGTGATTCAACAGATCAGAGATGGTGCAGGAGGTGCTGTGTGCACCACTGCCTTAGCTAGCAATCCTATCTGCAGACCTATGGCTGGCCTGGCAAACTGTAGCCGTGATGTGGAATTCAACAGTAAAACATGAAGCTTCTTACTGGTTAATCCCAGTATGTTATCAGGTCATGTCTGTGCAGGGCAACAGAGAGGTTCTACTGATACCATTCAGGGATTCATTTCTAAATAAGCACATATAAAATGTGTAATTATCAATGACTCCCTAGTTTTTCAACTAAGCCTTCACATCAGATTTCAGGTTTTATTTTATACCTGCTCTGAGCAGTTCAGGTAAATACAATGAACTGCTGTGGGGAAATGGAACCGAATTTCTCTCTAGAGTAAATCCATTCAAAAACTTCTAGATAACGTAAGAAACAAGGGCAATAGTTCAGAAACCATATCCTGAACTTATTTGCAAATATTGTTACAAATTATGGACAGGAGAGTTGCTTGGATTTACTTAAATGACTTCACCGTAAGTATTCTTCAACTGATCGGACCTTTCATTTATATATAGCTTCAGAAGGGCTGCTTTCTTTGTTTTAGTCTTGGATGTAAAGCAACACTGAATAAAATTTTCTATCTTGTTTTACATTTGTCTTCTGGATTTCACTAGACAAATTGCCAGTTAACCCTCCAAATTCATTTTATTTTTTTAAGGAAAAAAACCCACCTCTTTGTCATTGAACCTCCCATTATTTAGATAGTGAAAACAAGATCAGTCACCGAAACTGAAAAATGCTGAAAGTTTTATTGATCACATAAGAGACAAGATGAACAGGAAAACAGTCTCTTCCCCGTCACTGAGTGATGTCTTTTAAGAGCATTATATCCATAAAAATGCTATGCAATAAAACTTTCTCTAGTTATAAGAGTTGAGTGCAATGTAGCTACAATGTTTTCTGGTTTTGTTTTTAGAGCCATTAAAACTTTTCCCAAAATGTTGGTTTTGTGATTGTACTGGCACATATTGACGTATTTGCATAATGTACAGAAAGATATTTTACATGGTTACTTCTTTTTTACCTTGAAAATTGTATCACTTAAATAAAATATTATACTTAAGGGTTCTTTGGCTTTTATAAGTAAGAAAAAAGAAAAGGTAATAACAAACAAACATCAGTTAAAGAAGGAGCACAGGTTATTTTGAGGAAGATACGGTTCCAGCTTTCCTAGGACCTATTTTTGTTGTTTTTGCAATGATCATGTCCATCTTTGGCTGATTTTTGATTGGTAATCATCTGCTTCAAGAGTTTGTGGGTTGCATGCATTTATACACTGGCATTGTTCCACATAGACATAGCTATAATTTATGCTTGTTCCGTTTTGGCAATTCAGGATCACATCTCTTCTGTGGCTGCTGAGCTCTTGGCAGCAAGTACAGTCATGTTGCATCTGGTTTGCTTTAAGAGAATACCTGCATTCCGCCAGAAAAAGAAGACTTTCTCATTAAGCATCAACAGATAGGGGCATTGTGTGAATATGATTTTAATACAAGAAGAGTGAAACTCTTCTTGCTTCATCCGAGTCTGATTTTATTCATGAGACTCATACATACATTAATTTTGCTGTTGTTCTATGACTGATTAATATAAATTCACTAGAAACAAAGCTGAAGAGAGTCTCAACTTACATGGAGGAGCCAGGACAAGTCCCTTCACAATATGTCAACTCAACAGCTTCGGAAGATTCACAGTCTTCGTGTTGGATTACAGTTTTTGTGCTGTAAGCTTTGCAGTTAGTAGCTTTAAAAGAAAAAGAAAAAAAAAAGATGAACATGCTTCAAATCTTTAGTTTAGAACTGAACACTAAAACAATTTTGAAGTGCATGATGTCTCATTACTGAGACTATGTACAGTAGGCAACAGTAGATGCTAGTGTATACTGCAGCTGGAGATTTCAAGTGATTTTTTGATCTTGGCTGTAGAGTGCGTTTGGAAGATATAAGCTGAGGATTGAGTGTTGGGGGTTTGATTTGTGGTATTCACCGTCCAGGAAATTCACTTTTTCTTTTTGAAGCAATAGTATAGAAAAGGTTGCTGAAAAGTGAAAGCTAGGTCAGTGAAGAATCTTTCCTTCCACTCAAATACAGATAGAAGTTCAATATAATTACCTGTAAGAGGAAAACACTAGCTTGGTATTACTTACGTTTACATATCTTGCAGCAGCCATCAGGAGTAGTCTCTGCTTCATCCTTTGCAGAAATAGAGAAGGATATGTATTATAACATGGATGACAATACTGAGTGTGTTAACAAGTTAGCATCGCTAACACTCAGCAGAAGGCTTCTCTGTGATGAACACTGAATGAAACCATGGATGTCTTGCAGGCTGATTCATCACTATATAAATCTTTAATCATTTTAAGCTTGTTAAAAATACTAGCTTCTCTTTGATACTGCTGTTACAGCAACATAATTTCCATCCTTAAAACATTTCTGCAACTTCAATGAAGATAACTTGTTGCGTTCTTCCTTACTTTCTTGCCCCCTTGTTCTTCTACATTGCAATTAAGTAAAAGCTGAAGTGATGAAAACTTACGGGATCGCACTCCAGTGGACCGTACTCGGGACATATTCTTTTAGTTTGAACTGCAACATATTGATCTTCAATTTTTTCACACTTGTAGTGGCTGCAGAGATCAAGTGGCAGAGTCTTACCAACCTAAGATTTTAAGAGAAGAAAAAATATGTTTTTTTTCCATTGTAATCAGATACTGTATGATTACTTCAAAAATGTTTGAGTTAAATTCTCACACCTCAAAGATTTTTAGATGAATTTGGAGTTCTTTCATGTGGCAAATGGGAGAAGCCTAATTTTGCAAATTATGGCTGTCCTGAAAGTTCATATCATAGATCTTGGGGCCAGATTCTTTCCAGGGGCGTGCAGCAATAGAACAGGGGGCACTGGGCACAAAGTGGATGCAGGAAGTTCCATACAAACACAAGGAAGAATTTACTGTGAGAGCAGCAGAGCACTGGAACAGGCTGCCTGGAGAGTCTTTTTCCATTGAGGTATTTAGGAATTTCCAAGTAAGTCTTTAGGTCAGAGACTTACGTTTTTAGTTTGTATTAGTGTTGTTTTCAGAGTATTTTCAGTGTTAAATAAATTCTGACTGGGAAGGGATATACTGTCTGGTGAGAGAAGGAAGAGATTACTTACTTCGAGCACAACAGTCTCGTTATTTAGATGAATTCTGCAAGATATTTCTTTACACTTCCCACAGCACTCTCCATCCTCAATCTTATATTCGTAACCCTACTCGCAAGAGATGGAAGAGAAAGTATGTTGAGTTGATGATGGACGGTACTGGTCTTACTACAATACTACTGTTTGAAGGCTGATAGGGCATCCCATTGAATCTCAACTCACCAGTGGACAAGATGTTTCACATTTAAGTGCTTCACACTTCACAATGTTTTTCCCAGTAAATAGATCTTTCTCAGAAGTGCAGGTACAATTTTTACATGAATGTATTACAGATGTTCCGCTCTGGAAAATGGGAAAGAAAAAATAACATCTGTTTGTGAAGTGTCTCTATAACACACAGGTGAAGGTGAAAGACGTGCTGCATACTTTTCTGAAGTGCAATTGAGCAAAAAATTTGGCTTTATTTTTGAAGGTTCATAGGGTTATTTCAAACAACATTTGAGCTTTAACAATACATCAGCTTCTTTGGAAAAAAAAAAAAAAAAAAAAGAATTCCACAAATAGAAGAAAGCTTTTTTTTTAGAAAGTACATTGCTAAAAATGATGCACTATTGTTTTAAGCTTCTTGAGGAACAGAGGTTAGGGTTATAAACTGACATGGATTGGGTAAAGAATTTTCCAAAGGGCTTTTGTAGTAGAAAGGGTGTACATTTAATTTCTAGTAAAATGCCACTGTAAGTATGCCATGCTCACCTCATGTATTTTACCATTAATCTCACAGGTGTTTGAACGTTGCCCTGAAAAACAACCAAAATGAAAATCAGCGAACTCAAACTGTGAAAATACATAAGAGGTTAAGATGTTATCAACATTTGTTAATAGCATAGAGATTACGGAAAATTTGAATTCAAGTTCTCTATGTGCACAAACCAGTATAGCTGGATGTTAAAGAATGTATCTCTTAATTGGCTATAAGAGTTGAGTAGAAATGGCACCAAACTTGAGCTAAACACAAAAAAAATCCCTTTCTTGCCCTTTCCATATTGGTTCATTTCAAATTAAATGAGTTCTATTCTGTTTGTATTCTTAAAGACCAGAAGCCTTCAAAGATGCCTTTGTATACTGATACCTTATGACCTCTCAGAATGGAACTTGGATGTGAGATCAAGTGGAAAAGTGGTATTTTTTACTGAAGTAATACAGTTTGATAACATGCCAGATTCCATTTGTGGCTTTCACAGCATTACTTCAGATTTCGTAGTTCCTTGGTTTTTGATTTTTCTCTTTCACGCTTGCTTTGTAGCTAGTTTTCTTTTTGATTCTTTTATTTAAAAAAAGTAAGTATATAAATAAACATACATGACCAATAGATTATAGATTGTATTAATGTTCTACAATATCATAAGAGTAATTATTATTTTTTGTACATCAGCAATTCAGTTTCTAATTATGATTTACATATTACCTGCTTTTCTAGTGAACTCTGAAGATTTCTGCTGGCTCACTGTTATGTTTATGCATCTTTTTTTAGCTGTAGTTACACTAATGTTAATGAACTTGAAGTACTTGAACTATCCTGTTCTCTGAGCAGATATTGAGAATAATGTTTTGTTTTTAGCTGAATTCGTATTGCATATTTAGCTAGAAATTGATGTGTATTCAATAAGTGAGAACAATTTAAAGAAGGTTTTGCTGTTACCATGATGGATGTAGGATCTGCTTAGATATTAACAGAAGCACAAAGGTAACTTCCCGCAGTGTAGCTGCTGCATACGTTGGTATTTTTAGTACTTACGGCATTCAAGTACAGGACAGCATGGATCTTCTACTGGTACTACTGGTAAGGCAATAAATCCTATGTCACAAACTACTTCCTGAGATGTTTGGCATAGGAGCGGCCAACATTGCGCCATACCAGTGTGTGGATCACAGACACACTCCCGGCACTCACTTGTCCAATTCTCTCCAGGCTGAAAATACAAAAATGATTTATTCTGATGTGCCCTTTCACTCTAGTTATTCTTGGCCAACTTGGCTTAGACTCTCATGCTTAGTAAGGATTCCAGATTAAAGTTTTGGTACCATATGATTTCCAACCTTAAGAGCAAGCAAGCTGAGAACAATAAAATAACTGTCTTCTGTGTAGAAAAGAAAAAAAAAAAAAAAACATTGTAACATTTTCATACCTAGTTCACTTATTTTTATGAATATTCTTAAAAAGTCTCTTCTATGGTATTAATGGACTTTTCTATCTCTAGATGCATTAAAAGCCTGATGGTGCAAGGTTTGAATTATGTTTTATCAGGATATTCTTCCATGACCAACTTTGTTATTGAAATACATGCAAGTTGATTTGAATTGAAGATAGAGAATAGAAGTTGGGCTGTTTTTGCAATGGTAATACATTAAAATAATGAAGGGAATCACCTTTCGTGGAGGACTGACATCAGTACAGTTTCTTTCTAGTAAAGTTGTGAGGGATGTTGCTGTGGATGAGGAGGCTTGTGTTGTAGTCTCTGAGAACGCTGAAGTTAAAGGAGTTGTTGTGGGACATGGCCCCTGAAATGGAGCAATTTCACATTCGTTGCTGCAAAGCGCATAAAAATTACATCCAGCCTTATCTGTTCTGTTGTATACAACTTCACCTGTAGAGAAAAAATGAAAGAAAAGACCAATGAAAATACGAAGAAAAAACCCAAACAACACAAAATATTGTGAAAACATGAATTATATTACTCTGTTAAAGCAATTATTCTATTTAAGATGATTTTGATGGATTATCTTTAATTTAATACATTATTAAGGGATAACACTGCTTATGAAAATGATTATAACCATTAAGCAAGAAGCTTACCGGGAGAAAACAAACCACCAAGCACGTGGCAAAAACAGGGAGTTGTTCCACTTGCTTCTGTTGTGGAAGGTGTGGTGGGGGAAGAACTGGAGACTGCAGAAGTGCTTGTAGTGAGGCTTGGCTGTGAAGTACCAGCTGTTGAGAACAAAACAGTTCAGTTCAAAGCACAGCATTTGGTTCTCCTAATTGTAACATATTATAGGAGTCTGATCAGAATCTGGTCAAACCAAACCAATGTTTGGTTGCATTCGAGTATTTAACCCACTTACTGTAGAAAATAGAGATTATGCAAATCTTACTGCTCTGTGCCAAGTAACATTTGGCATTTTGCAAATATTAGGACTTCTACCATTAATATATTTATATTTCAGAGTCACCAATGTCACCTTTATGGTAATAAATATGAAACCATGGAATCTGCTAGAAGACGTAGGATAAGCACAGTGGCTGATAAAAGAAGATTTTTTTCTGTTAAAAGAAGCACATGTAATAGTAGAAGTCACAGAAAAAAATTGTAGCAATGATATTCTAACAAACTAACAGCAAAAACAGCTTTCACCTACCAGAATGACTTGAAGTAGGGGACTGTGCTATAGTCTGTGTTACTATAGTGGAGACTGCAGTAGGAGTGACTATAGTTGAAGAGCTGGGTGGTGACCTGGTAGATGTACGGATAGTGAATTCTGTCCCAGAGGGTGATGTTTTGGTAGTGCTGGCACTGTTGTTAGGACTGGTTGCGATGGTGGTTGGATGTCCTGTCAGAATAGGAGAAATCTTGGGAGTGGCAGAGCTGCTGGTAGCTGCGGTGGTCTGTGCAGGTGTGAGGATGGTGGTGGCTGTGCTTTCTGGCACAGGAGCGGTCACAGTGGTACCGGTACTGCTAGGTATAGTGCTCTGTACACCTGTGGATGACATGGTGGTCGTAACTCTAGTAGGAGGGGGAACAGACCTTATAGTACTTCCAGATGTGATTGTGGTTGGACCTGTTGGCAGAGGGCTGGTGGTCCTGGTGAATCCCGTAGTGCTTGTGGTGGTGGTCTCAGAAGATGTGGGAACAGGAGAGACAGTAGTGGGTTTTGCTGTTGGCTGGGTTTGTTCAGTGGGTGAAGTTGCTGGAATGGCGCTAGTTGAGGACAAGGTGGTGACAGGACTGGTGGGGGAGCTGGGCACTGAGGGTGTGGTGGTGACAATGGTGGTCGTGGTCCCTGCTCCAGGAGGAGTGGTCTTGGTGGTGCTGGCACTGCTGCTAGGTACGGTGGTCCTGGCACTTGTGGATGCAATGGTGGTCGTACTTTTTGTTGGAGGAGGTGACGTTGTCGTGGTGCTACCACTACTAGTGGGTACAGAGGTCCCTGCAGTTGTGGAAGAAATGGTGGTCGTACCTTTT